ACATTACACTGACAACGGGTGAACCAATTGTTGCCATTCCCCTAAATGCTGAACGTTAAGCAGGGAATAACAACTACCATTTTTAAGGACTGTGCTATGTCCCGGCCTAAGAACAGAACCCATTGCCTTCCTCACCTGGGCGAACGCTCTACCATCAAGCCAAAAGAGAGGCATCAAACATGCAATATGTTTGTTTTGGTAAACTAACGCATCTTAACCAGACCAAATCATACATGTATATATAGATCAATAAAATAAAAAAATTAAACATGTTCTATTTCTAAATTCATATCAACATCTCATTAAAAAACAGTAAATCAAAGCTTTAAAGAGCTTTACCTCGACGACGAGTCAGACTACGTAAAAGCACATACACTTGAGCTAAAGAAAGATGATAAGACCTGCTAGGAATCTCATTTAAAGGTTTAAGGTGTCGTGGGAATTGTATAGCATTCCCGACAACACTGTCAACGCAAAACTGATAGACGCGACCTTTAAGCCTGCTTCAAGCAGATATTCCATGGAATTATCTTTCGTTATGATGACTAAGTGAAAATATCACTTTTTTATTGACGAGATAAAGATTTACTGAGCTAATTGATTGTTTGAGCCTATAGCTAATGTAATGGTACATATACAACATTAACTGTTATTCACAATAGGAAAGAGATGCACACACGGTGTAGCCACAAGTCATACTTTGCCGGAATTTTCTTGGAAATTAACAAACAGTAAATTATACAGTTATAAAGGACATTCTGTACCTTTACCAGTGGTGGGATTAAAGACAAAGTTGAATTGACATGTGAACTTTAAGCTATGATCAGTTTTCTCTAAATCTCTTGTCAATATATAGTAGCTATCAGTGTCACCAAGGAAATGAATCAATTCAGAGGCATATCTTAACCATAAAAACAGCACACCGATTAATTTTCCATTAGTGACACCGGAAATGACGTCAGTGGTGTTATGGCAAAAAAATAATAGCGCACCATGACAAGTTTATCTGTGACACATATATTCCACGTATTCAGCGGACATTGAAGAAATCAAGAAAATACCTGCTATTTTCCACTACAGTGTGTTGTAAAGGCAACAATTGTGGGGCTTCCTGAAGAATCGGGGTTTTTCTCCCGGGTTTTGTGTGTGTATTGTTTTACCCCCCATCGTCGATATGAGCCATTTAGGGCCGAACAACAATGTATAAAGTAGACATTCACAAAAACCTGAATACTTAAAAACTTGAAACAAAAGGTAAATACTCATAGATTGACTGCACAGAAACTGTATCAAATAAACATATCATAGAGGATACATTATAAAATTTGTCACGTATTTGTTTGAAATCAGCATAATGAATCATAAAGTGTTTGACTGTAAATGGCTAATCACAGACCATGACAACAAGGTTAGTCTTCCCCATGCAAAATATAGCTATGTTTGATGTAGGTATGACCTATGTGGTCTGCTCTACCTTTTGCACAGGAACCTACATTAGGTTGAACTGAAAATAACCTTTTGTTTCTTTCTTCAGACCATCTTTTTGCCAATTTGTTTTAATAAAGTTAGCTATTGAAGGTTTAAAATCAGAATAACGCAGTTTAATATCTTTCGTATTAAGGTTAAGTGCTGCCTTAGCAGCTCTATCTACTTTTTTTATTTCCATTTATTCCGACACGGCCGGGAATCCAAGTCAAGATCAGTTGACAGAAAACTAAAAATCTGTTTATACGGATGGCAATATTTTGTACGAGATTGCTGTCCCGGGTCTGGTTACCTATTTTTATACAGTAATGGACACACCACGTGCCGAAATTGTTTTGAAACAACCGTTATCGACAAGTGTGTATTTGTACGGTCATATGCATTTACGAAATGTACACGCAGATAAAATGGAAGCAGATTGCCTTACGTGTTTATTACAAGTAATCGGGTTTATTTCTGGTATCACTAGTGAACCGTGAACGAGTTGTGAAATCGCAATACTCATCAGAGATCTACTCCTTTTAACAGTAACTACGAACAAATACTAGTGCTGTACCTGACAGTACCAAACGATTTTTGACAGATTCAGTCATTGTAATAACGTGAAGCATGTGCTGAATATTAGCAAATTGCAATATGTACGCAATATGTACTCATCGAATATTAAGTGAGGTCCATTTATTCATACCGTAGCATCGATCAACCGGTATCGCCATGTCGCACAACTGGGCGATTGGTTCCTGAATCACACAGTTGTGTGTACGATGTGCGCACAGTAATTCCGGTGAAATCACACTATTGTATATATCCTTTTGCCCATTCCCATTGTTTCGTACATTGAAACTGATGTGTAGTTTCTACCAGCACTGGTCAGCTGGGATCTTTAGAACGTTTGAGAACATGTTATACTCATTGTGTTAGTAACGTGGGTTTGACTTCTAGTTTCGATGGTAAATTGTGTCAGACTTTTGCACATTGTCGTAAAATATTTGTGTAGATATTAAATTCGGAGCAGCCCTTGTTATCAGACTGCAGTGACATTCAGCCAATAATAAAAATTACCTGAGAACTGTTCGTCTGTTAAAAAAAATATAAAACTAGAGATTTGTTTTTGTTATCAAAAATATATGTCTCCCCTTTAACTGTTTAAAATGTTCAGCTCAGACATGATATTCCTGAAAATATTGCACTTATTTGACCTTTAGCCTCGAGGTCAAGGTCACAGTGCACTGAAGACAGCGCACTGTACATCGTCTGTGGACGATACAGATATACTTCAAGTTTCATCAGGACATCTTTAACTTCGCACTTATTTTACATTATTATTAGTAGAACTGCCTTTTGCTAAATTATAAAATGCATTTATGAACAAGTTCCAATTGTAATGACCCCCCTAGTCGCAAATGATGCTTGGCTAAAGTTAACAATGCCATTACATACTTGCATACAAAGTTTAAGTAAAATTTGACCTTAAAATGTTTGAAACAATCACCACTTTGACCTTGGACTTTGAGATAAAGGCCAAAGTGAGCTAAATACACTGCTTGCACATGATCTGTAGGTGACGCGGTTATAATTCCAGTGTTATCGAGTTAACTTTAATGGTTTAAAGGTTACAGCCCCGACAAGATATTCCAGAAAATTTGCACATATTTGACCTTTGACTTTGGGCTCAAAGTCCCAATGACCTAATGACGATGCACTAGGCAACGTTTACGACCCGGACAAGTTCATATTAGAAGAACCAGAACAAGACGAACCAGTGCTTATACAATATTATCTCGCTTCATTCAAAGAAGAGACATTCTTGCTATTTTACTCTTCGATTTGACGTGATTCTTTTTGTTTGTTTGATGACATTCCTTGAACATGTCTTTGGCATTGTATCAGCTGAAATGACTTGTTCTGTGATGACTGGCCGTACACAATGTAATAATAACTGTCGAGAGTATCGATTGGCTACACTATAAAAAGATGAATTTTGAATGGCTGTGTTCAAAATAGGGTGAATTACATTTTAGGAGAAGCCTTGGTAGACGCCAGATTTTCTTTCAGGTGATAATCAGGTTTTTAACATTTTGACTCTGAATGCAGTTGTTTAATTTCCATTTAACTTAACGCAAAGAATGTAAAAAAAACAACCCAAAAAATACAATTAAATTAAAAATGATATCCCATAGTAATTTAATTTTAAAATTTTACTGAACAAATGAACATTAACTTTATGTTGCACATTCTATACATTTCAAAATCAATCATATAAATTAAAAGCCTCCAAGGCGTTCGTACAATTGGGCCAGTCTTAGAAACGATCACTTTTAAGACGTTCGCCTGATTTTCATCTCGCAGGTTCCTACAAATGCATTAATATTAAAGGGGTGGAATTCTATTACAGCTCTCAAACATAAAAGTATGATTGCAATGTAATCTACCGATACCGACTGTCAGCAAGTATTATACTTCAGTGCGCAATTTTAAACAATAAATCTAATTATCATATTTTAAGTCGTCGTGCGTTCAAATTCACATTGTCGACTTCTTCCTCGCAACCGTCTGTCTGATTCTGATGGAACATGGTGGTAATCATACGCACACGGTCGGAATCAGAATGTTTTACTCAAGACGAGGCTGACCTACGAAGGGACCGAGGTGCGGGGTCATAAGTGGTCAAAGGGTGCAAAATCTCCAAGAGACTTCCGTAATATTTGTTTCCTGAAGTTCATGTAAGGTAACATCGTTTTTGTTTATGGGAAAATAATTAGTTATAATCATATCATTGCAGTTTGATGGCAATTAAGTCCTTGACTCATAACCTTTTGGGCCAAAAAGGCTATAATTTCAAGAATCTTCCTCTATAGATCAGGCAATTACTAAAATCAAATACTCTTTTTTTGATTGAAAGGTCCTAATCCTAAGGTGCTTTATCAACATTGTGAATTTCATTGCAGTTCATGATTCTCCCTTGATGAGTGGTTAAGTTTTACTAAAATAGTTGATTATTTAATCGAATGATTTTTTTTAACTTATGTGTAAGTTTTCATGTTTGTAACATCACAATAACAGGTAACAATTTTATTTTAACTCAGGTGACCGAACGGCCCATTCTCCTGTTTTTGTTACCGCCGGATCAATCGGAGCACTTCTTCGTAAAATTTGAATAATTTAAATTATTATTTAAAGTAGCAAACACAGTCTTTACAAAGACTAGTATACTTTTATTCAAAACAATTAACCGTTTGCAAACACCTTATACATGCTTTATATTGAGGTCAGAGCGTTACACTTTAATTCGAGCAAGCAAATAGTTGTAGCTTGACTCGTTGAATTACGCGTGTTTGATATTCTTCTTGCGATTTCATCATAAATAATTGTAATCAACTATGTGTTTCATCTATGTGTCAAAAGGGTTACTAAGCATTTATTCAAATTACTGTTTAAGGCTTTTTCCTGTCGTGTTGTTGGGTTCTGAAATACCAGGTTGCATAACAAAAACAAAAATGTTCATACAATAGTACCTCAATATGCTGGCATATGGTTGTGTTGTTTCTGAGATAGTCTTTGAGGAAACGGATAGTGCATTTCAGAACGGCAGATGGTCTGCAGCTTTCAACTATGCCTGTTAAAAGAGTAAATAACGAGAATATCAAATATTCTATAATCTTAGAGGAATGTCTCAATTATGAGACAATAATTTTACAGGCGATCATTACAGAATTTAATGCATCCTAATGTTACCAATAAATGTATTTATTAGCTAAGACAGTCATAATGACATTCCGGTAGGTATTTTTTTTTATTTTAATGTCGCTTTGACAGTATTTTGAAAATGGATAATCACGATGCATTGCGATGGGACAATAGTTTTAGTGAGATAATGTCAGAACTGTTATGAACACGGACATTTTGAATCTGACGTAGCATATCAAACGCACTTCCTTATTTATTAACTGCTCCTTTACACCTGTGCCAGCTTATTTTTGTAACCGTTATGTACTTTCTTTTTCAATTTGATTCGATACTTTTACCTTAACATTGATATTGTCGTTGAAGCATATCAATAATTCTATTGGTTAATATAACTCATATACTCAATGTTATGAGAGAGAAAAAAATACCACAAAGTCAACACACAAGGTTGAAACAAAAATATGTCTCTAGAAATCGAGGATATATGAATATAACCAGACGACATATGCAATAGAAAACGGCAGCCATACTTTCTCAAAATCCTGCAAGGATTAATTGCACACTCTTAAACATTGACAACTGACCTTTAGCCTTTGGTGTAACCTCATTCGGTGTCTGGCGTTGCATTGCCGCAACTTTGTCTATCACCTCTTGTCTGACGGGAGAGTGGGGACGTGACCTGTCAATAAAAGAAGGAAGACAGGTTGGATAAAATATCATATATTTTCTTAATAACTTTCCATGTACTTGATTCTTAAATGTATTGATGAGCAAATGTTGATTATTTGGCAATACGTAATTCGTTACCGGAACAATAGCATTTCTGTGACTCTAGTGATAGGATTAATATATCAAGATCATGTTTACAATGTTGGAAACATCATTTAACTAAATGAATATACACATGTAAGCATTTGCCATGTAATGCGAAATCATTAGCTTTACCACAGCAAAGCCATATTGTAAGATGTGGGACAACGCTAGATACACGACAAGAGGCATAACAGAAGAACAATAAACTGTTGAAAATGGTAGAAAGAACATTATTCATTTCCCCCAAAACACATTGAGTGCATTGTCAGTGTATTATCAGCGAAGCAATCATATGAGTTGTATCTTATACACGAAGAAGGATAAACATGGCGGTTTGACTTTGACATGGATTGGGTTTGTTGAGATTAGCATCTAAATCATGTAATATTTTAAAGAAACTTGAGTTTACCCCATCGCCCATGTCAAACGGTCTCGCATATTGTATTTCACTCACTGGTTCGTAGAATCCAAATAAACTTGACGTTTACTATAACAATTTTTAATTACCTCCTTTTAGATTCTTTATTCGTTATGCTCCAACGTTGGTCCATGTAGGTGTGCTATTAAACCAATGAAGTTAGCTGTTGATAGGATGTTAAACCCTGAACAACCAAACAACGCATGTTAACATTGTCCTATGAAAAATAGGATATTCATCAGTTCCTAATTAGTATTTTTTTTATTATTTTACTCAACCAGCCATTAAACCCGATCGTTTTATTTGATTGGTTTTGGTTGGTTAACTTTGTTATATTTTTTCTTTACATTTTGAGCGTCAAAGAGTATTCACCTTTTACAGGAATCACTAACTATTAATGACTATTCTTTAATAGATTTTTTGAGCGATTTTCAATGTCATCGTTAAGACATTACATTACTTTAAAAAAAATCCAGACACGTCATATAACTTTTGGAAGAACGTGTATACCATTTTGTGGCAGAGGGTGATACATACAGCGTTCAATATTAAAAACCTCCAATCAATACCACATATTAAAGAACAACTATAACCGGATTCTTTAAACATGTGTTTGGCCAAAAATGTAATTAATCCTTAAGTTCAATTCGTCGATTTCCAATCCCATGTCAGGAAATGAACCACTCATGGCTTGTGAGGCACATTGGTAAAGCCATCGAAAATCACAGAGCTAATGGTGTCTTTTTCTGGCTCCATCATTTTGCAACCATATTGAAATCGACCCTAGACCTTTTAACTGTGTGCTCGCGGAATGCTCAATACCACACAGCTGGACATTTTCTGTGAATTATGGAGTTAGATTCCGGACAAATCCGTCCTATTCCTTTGATGGTGGGGATAATTTCCGTTCAACTCGTGATTTATTTTTAGAAATTGCTATATCTTAGTGAGTGTTAGATTTCAAATCCATGACTCGAATGTTAACACCTCTAAAGGTCTTAACCAAAGGCCAAGTATAGTAAATATGTGTTTCAGCTTTTAAAGAATGTTTGTATTTATATCTGCAAATATCACAGTTAGGTTTATTTTACAACGGAACACTCGTTAAGGACTCAACCAACTTAATGTATAAACCTTAAATTTATGTTATTACGAAGAGTTTGAGCTAATAGCGTTAATATTTGAAGTTCAACACTAGTGAGTCACAACTGTCTAGATTTACAGAAACAACTCTGACAAAGGCTTCAAAGGGCGGGTTGAGTGTCATTTAAGAGGATACATGCGTCTGCTGTTGACAACCGGAAGTTTACAAGCCAAACCAGCGTAGTGGGATGGGAACACCCCGACATTTGACCCTATATCCATTTGCCATCAAATACTTAAATCTACTTAAACTATACGTTAAGTTCAATATCTGTAGATTACATCCAATATAAACTAGTCAACAATTACCTATTTAAGTTATTCAGAGGCACTGTATTTAACCGGAACAAATTTAAGGTAGGGATTACAATCGTATGAAACACTGGTTGATTGGCTGATTTAGTTGTTAGAGTCCTTAACAGCAAATCTAAAACAACAATTATCCGGATAACCGTTTATTATACAATTATTTGTCATTTGGATAAAATTATGCGATCAACACTCGAAAGCTATTAGATTTAACAATATGAACCTGATTTTTTTATAATCTATAGATATATCTGCTACTTTTAGAATAATTCCGAAGTAACAATATTTATCCAAGAACTTGATTAGTCTGAAATTATTATTGATTCTAATTTGTTTTTAAAGTTGACGTTCGTCTTCTGTCATTTCCTTCACCATGTTTTCTATTTCTTTTGTTTGTCCTTATTACCACTTCTGTGTTGATGGGCCGTTCAGAATTAAATAATATTAAAACTTGATGAGAAGATTTAAAAGAAGAAGGAAAAAAACTTAATCAAAGACTGATACAGAGTTTAAAGTAAAAATACAATTGAACATTCGGAAAAAAACCTTCCAGTGAAAGGTTAAGGTGTTTCGGGTCAAAGAGCATTATGTCTATCTACTACCTCGTATTGACAAGCACATTCCGCAGTCACGACCCCTTATCCAGACGTACACATCGAGATTACAAAATGGCGTTAATGACAAAAATAATGTACTTTATAGAGATGACCAGATCCTTGACTGACGAGAATATAGTCCAGACGGAGACGGTAGATTCCAATTGTATTTTGTGCCGATGCATATCCACGGCAACGTCATTTCGTATGTTCAAACCGTAATTACATTAGACAAGTGTGCTCTCTTAGAAAAGGAAATTACCATCGCAAGGTTGAAAATAGGAACTCACGCGTTCACCGGCTGATTTACGATGACACATCGAGTGGCTTTTATTTAAGTAAGACAGGGTTTATTTAGACAGGGAGAAAATACGTATGCTATTTTCTGCCTTTTTTCAACGTCGACTATAACATATTGGAATTGGACGTCATCGAAATTACACTCGGCTCTAAGACATGCGATCTTATCAATGACCTTTCTGTAAATAAATATTTTTTTGTAGCGAATCGAGATTGTTATGTTTTTAATTGTTTTCACAGCCGCTTTGAAATAGTGATTTGGTTTCGTCGAAATGGATGACATGTAAGGTATTTTACTTATCATTTTACATTTATATGATAATTTGTCCGAATTAAAAGCAACGTTTCATTGATTGAAGCGATATATTTCAATAATAATTATCCAAAACAAGAAAGGGTTGCTGCTTCGTTTGTTGGGGTTTAACTGTTATTTGTATAGGGTGTAACATCTCTGCAACATCCAAGATCATATGAAGTCTTGAGCCTAAGGCGACTGTACCAGAGAGTAGATGAGAGAGAGAGAGAGAGAGAGAGAGAGAGAGAGAGAGAGAGAGAGCTAATAAGTGATCAAGCTGTTGGAAAGAAGTGATAAACGTCTTCTTGCGTCGTCTGTGAAGACACTTTATTCCTCTCTGTCATATTCCGTGATAACAAAGAAGTTGTGACAACAGAGTACTGCAAAAGTATGTCTAAACGCTAAACAATCATTGTGTATAGCAATTGATGCGTATATAAACAGGTGAAGGGAGCCGTTTACAACCCTCTTTTTTGTGTTTATTAAATACATCATTAAAACGCAATGCCTATCCTTACCTCTGAAGAATAAATAATTTGATGTCGTCGGCACTATTGTATCCATCCGTCACTCGGCGGTCATGGATAATTGGCTTACTTCCGGTCACAGGGCCGACAGGATGTGGTTTGTATGTTGCAGACGGTGGTCGAAGCCCCATCAGTCCCTCGACGGACTCGAAGTTAATAAACGCCCCCAGCAGATAAAACACCTAAAAGTCAATAAACAAAATTCAATAAGTTCATTGGAAATTATCTATACTACAATGGATTAGTATTTACCTATAGCACTCGCCAAAGTTAGTTACATAATTAAGGTTACAATCTGAACAAGAGGCCACACGAACATATCGCAGCCTCCCAAAATACACACGCATACACTACACGCATGCATCTTGCACACAGGGGAGGCCGTCCTTAAATGACCTTAGCTGTTAATAGGACGTTAAACAAAATCAAACAAACAAACAAACAAACAAACCCATGGGCCTTAACGGTCACCTGAGTCCTACAGTATTAGTTTTTGTTGTTGAAATATAAAGTGGAGATAATGATGTCAATCAACGCTACCAAAATTTTAGTAAAAATAGTTAAATATAACGTTAAGTCAAGTTTTTCAGGACAATGAGTTGATCATTCCTATACCGAGTTTCAGTTAAATAGGCCTATTAGAACTTTATCTTAAGTTTTAAATAGTTTTTTTTCCCAAAATGACAGCCTTGGCGGCAATATTGAATTTTTGATCGACCTGAAAAGAAAAAAACCTCATTTTGCCAGGACCGTGAGTCGATAATTCCTAACAAGTTTCAATTAAATGGGCCCATTTGAACTTGACTTTAAGATTGAAATAGTTTTTTCAAAATGGCGGCCGTGGCGTACTGATCGACCCAAAAAAATAACACCATTTTGTCAGAACCATGAGTCGATCCTTCCTACAAAGGTTCAGTTAAAACGGCCCAGTAGAACTTGACTTTAAGTTTGAATAGATTTTTCAAACTGGTGGTCGTGGTGGCCATATTGGATATATGATCGACCCGAAAAATAACAAAACTTTGCTAGGACCATTAGTCGATCATTCCAACCAAGTTTCAGTTGAATCGGCCCAGTAGAACTTGACTTTAAGTTTGAACTAGTTTTTCCAAGTGGCTGCCGCCAGCCGGCCTTATTGGAGTTCTGATCGACCCGAAAAATAACCACACTTTGTCAGGACCATGAGTGGATCATTCTTACTAAGTTTCAGTCCCCATAAATCGGCCCAGCAAAACTTGACTTCAAGTTTGAAATGGTTTTTCAAAATGGCCGGCCGTGTCGGCCATGTTGAATTTCTGATCGACCCGAAAAATAACAACACTTTGCCAGGGAGTAGTCAGTAACATTCCCTTGAAGTATCAATGAAATCACTTTGACAGTTTTTCAGCTTAAGTTGAAAATGTAAAATATTAACGGACGACGCACGACGGACGACGACGGACGAAGAAGGATAGCAATAGGTCACTTGAGCTAAAGCTCATGTACCCTAATAAAAAAATATACGGAATGGCCAGATATTTAACATTAAGAGGTTTCAATGTTTGTTTAGTTTTATTTTGTTTAACGTCCTATCAACAACTACGGTCATTTAAGGACGTTCCTCCAAGTGTGCTGTGTATGCGTGCTTGTCGGTATGTTTGCTGGAGGCAGGGTATTTTGATGTATTTGCCACCATGCGATAGCGTGGATCTGATGCCGGCTTGGGTTGCTACCTTGCAGAAATGTCAAGCCGAAGAAACCTAGCACATTAATCAACCCGATCATGTAATACTTGCAAAGGTTAACCAGTTATTGTGATAACCCTAAAAGCTGAACGCTAAGGAGGGATTAACAACTACCATTTTAAGGACTTGGATATGTCCTGGCCTAGAAACAGAACCAATTGCCTATCCCACTTGCGCGAACGCTCTACAGTAAGAACAAAAGAAGCAATGCCAATCATGACGCTATGAAACAAAACTATATAGTCGTAACTTACTCATGATTTTGTTTGTTTGTTTGTTTGATTTTGTTTAACGTCCTATTAATAGCTAAGGTCATTTAAGGACGGCCTCCCCTGTGTGCAAAGATGCATGCGTGTAGTGTATGTGTGTGTATTTTAGGAGGCTGCGATATGTTCGTGTTTGTCTCCTTGTGATAGCGCGGAACTGATGCCGACTTTATAGTGCTACCTCACTGAAACATACTGCCGAAGACACCCAGCAGGACGCCCCACCCGGTCACATTATACTGACAACGGGCGAACCAGTCGTCCCACTCCTAATTTGCTGAGCGTTAAGCAGGAGTAGAAACTACCATTTTTAAAGACTTTGGTATGTCTCGGCCAGGGGACAGAACCCAAAGCCTTCCTCACAGGGGCGAACGCTCAACAAATGGCCAAAAGTGAGGCATTGTCAAGGGAGACATTAGGAAGAAGAAAGTTATTTAGAAAGGAGAGAAGAGATAAGGTCCCAAATTTAGTCGCCTCTTACGATCATGCAATTGGGGGCAGCAGGTACAATTCTTACGCCCTACCTGCAGGGTGTTCATGATCATAACAACTAAAATGGTTTGAGGAATATTACACAAAAACGTTCCGTACCATAAAATATCCTTTGGTCTGGTGGTATTCATTCTTATCATATTGATTTAACATATATTCTTTTTCCGATTTCTTAAATGATATTTCATATGATAGCATTATGAAATATTTAATGTGCTCCTGTGAAATACCATATACATTTTAATTTCACAGGTGCAAAGCATAGGGGTGAAAACTGTATTTTTTTGTTATATTTGTTTATATTCTTAAATATGTAGCTTCAATTCTTTCCTTTTCTGATTTCCTTACAAAATTGTAGCCAATAATGTAGTTTTATTATTACTGTGTAGGTACAAAAAATGTTAAAACCATTTTCTAACATTTCATGCATTTGATAGAAAATACCGTCCTGATTCGTCAAGGTAAAATCGATATAGGATCTTATATATTCACATGTGAACATAAATGTATTATTTCGATCTTCACTACAGATACATTCTTTTTACAAAATTGATGATATATACTATTTCCCTAAAAAAAGGAATATTATCATAATTTTAAAAAAGCATCACAAAAAACAAAGAATCGTTACAAACAACAACAAAAAACATTACGCATTCGATTCAAAATGGTAAATTTTCGAGGTTTGAGAGGCGTTAGATATCCTAGATATACTACCGATGGCAGTTTTGAATCCATCACACAGGACATATGTAAGTTTTAGCGAGGTATATCCTTTTCCATCAATCAATTACGGTTTATTTTTAATATTAATAAAAAAAACCCCCACTGAAGTCATCATTTCTTAAATGAAACACATTCTGCTAAAATACGACTGCACTACTGTAAGTTCGCTCAAGTGTACATGTATTCTGAATCTGTTCCTGAGCACAGCCAAGAAGATAAAATGTTGATAATACAGGCATATCTTTATGTATAAAGGTTGATGATATATATCTCAATTACGTTTATTGATTCAACAACTGAAACGGGAAGCTTGGGGAGCCATGATATGGTAAAATCACAGCTGGCGAGAGATACATCTGTACGACGGCAATGAATAAACAATGATGCCGGATTACAGTAGATAGCATCGCAAGGCTCAATAATCTAGAAACAATTCAATAACCCATAAACCAAGCACAAAGGCGAGAGAAAAAATCCTGATAGGTTTTGTTGAATAATTAATATGCACTTCGTGCTAGAATGCTTGAACTTCTTAGGCGACGGGAAATCCTGTAGCACTCCCTAAGATGAGTTCATCTTTTATATGATTTAAGGTCGCCTTCAACGCTGATGATTGTGCTCGTTAACATACTTTATTATTCTTGTAGTGCTTAACCCTGGTGAATTCAATTTAATGAACTGTTTTTGTTGCACTTCGGTAATGAGCCAGGTGCGTGTTAACACAGGAAATACGGAAATTAAAAAAACCCACACATCGTCAAATAACACCTATCGATTAACAATATACAGTCAATAAATAAATATAAATATATTTTGTCGCAATATAAGATCAACGTTTACAATATAAATATGACATAGTATTAAAGTCATGTCAAAATATAATTTCTTTGTCACAATGAAATATAACCTGTTTAATTTAATATGGGTATCAAGAACTTGGTATATTTCCTGTTGTTCATTTGTCAAATATAGTTATCTGATCTATACTTATTAATTTACCCGACCAGGATTGATTTATCAATGATTTAAAAAACACTTTCGATCTATCTTACTATTATGTTCCTTTCCTGGTTTATCCTATTTCCAGTCCTGATAAGCGAATCAATAATGTCAGCCTCACATGCAAACAATTACCAATTGTAAGAATAGAGGCAGCGTGTTCCCATAGGAACACCTTCAATTTGTCGGAAAATATTGCCGCCAAAATCAACCAAGAAATCGTCAGCCATGAACAGTTCTAATAATTTCATCTTCAGTATATTTCGTTTTGGCCTTAAATGTCCCTTTTACAAAATGTGAAAGAAAAAAAGTCACAACTATTGTCTTTCTTGGAAAATAAAGAAAATAATAAAAAAAAAAAAAAAAACAGGAAATGTTTTTTATGCAATATGGAAGTGTCAAGATTTGAAAAGGTAAAGTCATGATAAAAGAAACATCATAGAAGAGAATGTTCAGGAGAAAAAAGGGGGAAAACATTTCTCACTCTCAGATTCAACGTAACATATCAATTTATTATGTTGTAAAACGTCCGTGTTCTGGCCTTTTCCTCCTAGATCGTATTTTCACACATCAATACGTACAAGAACGGAATATTTATGCGCATACACGAACGGTTAGAAATGCCAAGTTATTTCACACGTGTGCTTTTTCCGGCGAGACAGATAATTGGTGTCAGCGACATATCGTATGAAAAGTATTGCCGTTCTTTTTGCTAACGAACCAGGACGTGACTGAGAAATAATCTTCCGAAATAATCCTGAATGAGCATTCTGACTGAAGTCTTTATATTAAGCAGGTTGTTACATTGCTTTGTCAGAATAATTTGACTATTATTGTTTCTAGCAATAAACATAATACAGACGTGTACTTGTCCAAGGTTTACCCTTGTTCATATCGCATGGTCGTTTAAGAGCGTTTCTCCATGTGAGTTGTGTATACGTGCATGTGTGTAAGTGTGCTGAGACAGGATGTGTT